CTCTAGCAGGTCGACAGTGAGCTCGGTGGGGCAAAGGGAGAGAAAGTGGTCCCTGTCTGAAGAAAGGGAGTCAAGGAGGCGGGTGACTAGGTAGTAAAGGGTGATGTACATGGGGGGGAGGTTCTTGGCACAGAACTCAGTGGGAAGGGCAGCGCGGTAGCGGGCGTCTTTAGTGCGGAGGTGAGCAGTGAGGTCAGCGACTGTGGCAAAGGCGGCAAGGTCAGGGAAAAGGTACGGCAGCATGAGGCAGCTGAGGGCAGCAGTGGCAGGGGAGGAGTAGCGCGCAACTACAGCGTCATACAAAGACTTAGCAGTCTTGTACTGGCCAAAATGCGCGCGCTCAGCAGGCGGCAGGTGACTACGAACAGCAAGACGAGCAACAGCGTCACGAGTGGTCCACTGCGAGCGAACCGTACTGTCAGCAGTGGCAGCAGGAGCAGTAGAGACACTGGACGTGTGATTGAAAAGGGATACCCCATCCCTAGAGTCACACTGAAGAAAGAGCTGCAGGTCGTCAACCCACACGTCAAAGTCAACTGCACGCCCCTCAGCATCAAAGGTGAGAACAGTAGGGCTAGCCATAGAAGCAGTAGCAGCAGTAGCAGTAGTATGGCAGCAGAGGTAGTGCAAGCAAAAGGGCAGCGCGGCTCGGCAGTGCGGCGCGGCTCGGCTGGGCGGCGCGGCTCGGCAAAGGCGGCGCGGCTCGGCTGGGCGGCGCGGCTTGGCAAAGCGGCGCGGCTCGGTTCCGGGCAGCGCGGCGCGGCAGCAGGCGGCGCTGCGCGGCAGGACAGCGCAGGTGCTTACCGGGGGCGGGTGCAGAGCAGGGCCGCGACAGTGGCAGCTGCAGGGCAGGGCCGCGACAGAGGGCGGTTGCAGGGTAGGGGCTGCGACGGGCGGCGAAGGCAGGGCCGCGACAGTGGGCGGCCGCAGGGCAGGGCCGCGACAGGGGCGGCTGCAGGGCAGAGGCCGCGACAGCGGCGAAGGCAGGGCCGCGACTGGGGCGGCAGCAGGGCAGGGCCGCGACAGGGGGCGGCTGCAGGGCAGAGGCCGCGACGGGCGGCTAAGGCAGGGCCGCGACTGGGGGGCCAGCAGGGCAGTGGCCGCGACAGGGGGCGGCTGTAGGGCAGAGGCCGCGACGGGCGGTGAAGTGCTGGGCAGTGGCCGCGACAGGGCGACTGCTGGGCAGAGGCCACGACGGGCGGCAAAGGGGGGCCGTAACGGGCGGCGAACATGCCGTGACGGGCGGCAAAGGGGCCGCAACGGGCGGCGAATAGGCCGCGACGGGCGGCAAAGGGGCCGCGACGGGCGGCGAACAGGCCGCGACTGGCGGCAAAGGGGCCGCGACGGGTCAGGAACAGGCCGGGACGGGCCGGCTGAGAAAGGGCCGGCTAGGGAAGGGCGGGCGACTGCGTAGCTAGGGCAGGCGCGAGGCGCGCTTCGGGCAGGGCAGGAAAAAAAAAGTTCGTGGTGGGCCCTAAAAAAACGTTCCCACGAGGGAACCTGCTCAGAATACCATGTTAGAATATGGAACGAATGAATGACTAAACTAGAAAGCAGGTGGGTACAAGTAGGAAACCTAAAAGTGTTGTACCCTATAAGAACTACCCCACTACAGCCTAAACAGACTATAGCATATAAGTTTGACAGTGACGCCACGGTTCAGTGTCACCCGCATGAGGAACCGCCAAACACTTCACTTTATCTGTGTCCATGCCGGTGACCCCTGTGAAAACCAAAACCATCATTAAAAGCAGGTTTCCTTTTCTTAGGAAGCGTAACTTCAACGAGCATTTTGCGGATCAAAGTCGGCGAAACACCAGCCGGGACCATCTTCAAAACCACTTCAACCGCTTCCGGGTGAAGACGCCGCTCTCGCAGGTACGTATCATTTTCCGGGTGTTGCCAATCCATTGTGATCGACTTGTTGTTTCCAAGATCATGCCCAGTTGACCGCATCCAGACGAACTCGGTGTCACGAGCGTGCTTAAAGGTAACCTGAAGCCTCCCATACTGCTTCTTAGAGAACCATGTAGTCAACAACTCCTAGTACTGTGTCGTTTTGAGCACATCAGCGGACAGAGAAGCCTTCCAGAAATCAAGGTGTGCAATAACCGTCGGTTTCAGCTTGGGGATTTCTCTGTGGAATTCAAACAGGATTAGTAGCGTGATTGAGAAGGAAACTTCAGCAGAGGGCAAGCTGACAGCAACAGGATCGAACTCATCGTCCGAGTCAGTGTCCCACCAATCTTCTTCCTCTGCAACCACCCTGGTCTCATCTTCTTCTGCCACAGGTACTGTTGGCAAGGTTGCTGACGGAGCGTTGGGCGATGACGGAATCGGGTGCGGAGGGGGGGGGGGGGGGGGGGGGGGGGGGGGGGGGTATCAGCTGCTCTCCCTCCGTAGTGTTGTCCACCAGCCCATTAACTTTCAGTGCAGATAAGCGCTCAGACAACGTCGCTCGAGTAGCAGCATCCATAGACTCCTTCGGGTGCACGAGCGGGGAGGCGGAAGCAAACAGCAGCGGACTCTTCGTCACCGGAGTGGTTTCAGCAGAGGGATGAGGAGTAATGTCTTTGTTGACATCCGTCTTCCCGCCTTGCTTAGCACCACCACCTGTACGTCCCCGACCATTTGCCATTGCGCGATGATGATAGGCCACCCAAGCCTGAGATAATAAGGCTTCTGAGCGTCGTAAAATCCCCACTACCTGGTTGTCCATTGTCTGCTCTGCTTGTACTTGTAGCAATAGAGCTGGTGTGCATCACTTGCGTAGGAACCAATGTTATTGATAAGATGATTAGGAAATCCGGGGGATCAGGATCCCATAACCAATCTGAGCTTGTATTGAGCTTCCAAGGCAGCCATGATGAAATCAAAGCCGAGCCCTTGAGGTTAGAACCGAAGTTCCCTGAAACCAGATAAGAGTTACCGATGTTCCATGTATGAACACAATAAAGGTATCCTCTTAAAGCTGAGTTCTTCGCGAGTCGTTCGGTTAAGAAACTGCAATAATCAGGCAAGAAATTGTTGGACCTTGAGGCCATCGAATTTGACGCGAGAGCCATGGCGGAGAGGTCCATGCATCCGCGCGTGTGTGGTGGTGGTGCATTCATCACATGGTTTGGCTTGGTAATTCTATATTCGCGCGAGTCCTTCATATAAGCAAAGGCAAAGAGCCTCAAATACAGTTGCTTGCTCCTACTACTCGTCATATAGCTTTGCCTCGGTATACTTCAACGCCTTCATAAGCTATCGCGTATGGATGTGCGACATTGATCCGCCCCAAGCAACCAGAGCACTTTTACTGCGAAAATCCGATGCGATGGAGACCAGCATTGCTGGCGGTCGCAGGCATCCTTCCAAAGATGGCGATTCGGCGAGCTCCGTGAGGCAGTGATCCAAAGGCGACCGACCGCGCCTGGGGATTGTGCCGAGGGGAGAATGCCACCAACAGAAGATGCATTATCGCTGTGCGAACAATTCGCATAAACTCTCGTCCGTCGCTCAGGAATATGCCAGTAGGCGGATTTGCAGCATGTTCTCCAACGATAGTTGGTACTGGTGGACTGCTTTCGGCTGCTGGCAGTGTTGAGGGTATACAGCACGCCCACTTTCTTGCCTCGAGAACTCCGCCTTGCTTCACTCCTGCCCATCCAGTCACTTGCCCGGCTCTGGTCATCTCCATGATGGTTGCTTGATCATAGAGAGCGTGCAAGCGGTGTGGGCAGACGCCTAACAAGGTAATTATTAGTAGTTCCCAGTGATGACGGTAACTCGTATTGCTCTGCCTAATCTGGTGCGACGGTTTCCAATCAGTGGCTTCTATTAGTTTCTCTACCTCTTGCCATCAGTCGCTGACTCATAATTATTTCAGCATAACCTGGCATCGCTAGTAACAGTTATTATGCCGTTTCTATGACTGTTTTGACAAGTTCTGTTGCCTCGAGAATGTCCTGATCGATCTGGACTGTTCGTCAATCAGCGGTTGCAGTACTTTGGAAATGGGTGATTGCACGGTTTCCCTGGCGAGAGGTTGCATGAAGGATGAATGTGATATGCGGGGAAATTTGGCCGGAGCTCCGGAAACTAGTGTACTGACGACGCTTGACCAGGCCGGGGAGGGCTGGCCTCTGCTACAGTCAGAGTCGTACAAGCTCGCGTGCCAGGAGGTCGAGTTAGCCGACAGCCGTGCGATTGCTCTTCAGGATGGTCATGCTACAAGATCAACGGACGCCGTTGAGATTACAATCGACGGTCCAGAACTCAACATCAGCGAGACGACTGATGGCAAGGAGAGCAGCAGCAGCACTGGGTGGGGCATGGGCTTTATTGCAGGAGATGCCAGCACTACCACCACTACGGGCAACACGAGGGCCGAATGTGACTACAACGAAGTGAACAGCCCTCTTCCACCTGGTCCTTCGCAGCGCGATAGAGTTGCTATTCCGGTGCGTGATGACGACACCAAGGCTTCGTTATTAACCGTCGTCGAACACCCTGCTTCAAATCCTAGCGGTCTGCCGGTCACACTACCACCCTCAACGGCTGACGTCATCCTGGACGAGTCGTCGCTACACGACATCGATCGCCATCCATTGTCGCCCTCGTCGTGCAGCGCCTGCACGTGCATCGGGGGATTTACGAGGGGAAATGGCACAGGAGTCGCCGATAGCAGCCAAGAGCGCGAAAACCCGGCGGAAGATGAACGGCTGGAAAGCGGAGGAAATTCATTGTTTGAAACGGAAATGGCTTTAGCGGACGAAGCGGAGTCGAGTCCTCGAGCGGGTTCGGCGGAGGGTGGCCGCGGTCTAATGCGCGCGTGCGGACTGATAGGAGGAGGCGCGGTCTCCGCTCAGCAGGGCAACCCCGCGCCTCAAGGCCCGAGGAGGAGAGGCGGTAGGAGGAGGCGGAGGGCAGATGCGGCAAGAGAAGCGGAGGAGAGTGTGATGGAAGACGAAAGCGGCGAAGTGGAAGAGGAAGCTCCTGAAACCCGTCGTCCAATGTCTGTGGTGATTCACGGTCCCGGCGCGTCCTTCTTTGTGGGCACGGAGTTAATCGCCGCTGGCGGGCGCGCGCGCGCAGATAGCGCGAGGGGAAGCGGGGGGGCACAGGGCGACCGCGTTGCTCCTGGCGGATCAAGGCGGGGAGCTGAGAGCGCGCAGGTGGATGGTGCAGACAGCGGAGAGGATATTCACAGTAACGGGTATGGCGATAGCGAGTACGACAGCAGTGAAATGGAGCAGGAGGAAGAGGGGGCGAGGAGGAGGAGAGGGAGGAGGAGAATAGAGGTGTTGATGGATCGGTGCAGAGGCGGGGTGGATGCCGTGGTGCGTTGGGGACGCAGCAGGCGACAGCACCTGAGAGGCACGAGAGGGTTGGCTCGTGGTGGTGCTGGCACGTCAGCAGCAAGAGGTGGGGGTACTTCTGACTCTGGCGATGCTGATACCGAGAGTGACTATGACGAGCGTAATTCGGAGGATAGGGAAAGGGGCTGGGCGCCTTATGATGAGTGTGACGAAAACGAGGGGTATTGTATGGAGTGCCGGAGGAGCGCTGATGGGGAGCAAGGAGCAGAGGCGGGGAACAGGCAGCAAGGATGCGCACATGGGAGTGTGGGGGGGAATGGGGACGGGGCTGAGCAGGAGGATGGAGGGGAGAGCGATAGCAGCGGGTACAGCCGGAGCAGTGGGGGGGAGAGCAAGGCGAGTGCAGACAACGATGGTGACGGTGCCGAGGCCGCGCTGCTCGACTTCCAATTCGGTAAGCCTGCTCCGCGCTCAGGGGGCTGTGCTGTTGCTGCACCATCGGCTTCCATAGAACACTAGTGGTGCTGTCCGTCCCTAACACCCTCTGCTTGCCACTCCTTTTCTTGCTTCCGTGCTTCCGTAGCCCCCCCCCCCCCCCCACGTTGTGCCTTGCCTCCTCATCCGCCTCCCCTCCTCATCACCTCCTCTTCTCCTTGTTTGCATGCAGCTCCGCTGAGGGAGGCATCAGGGCAGGCGGAGGGCGACATGTGGGTGGAGGCGGTGCACGTGGTGCTGCCCCCACTACCTGCCAGTGCGAGGGGCGGGTGGGAGGGAGTGGACGTGGCGGGAATGGAGGCGATATTCGACCCGCACTGTGTCAAGTGGTTCCAGCGCGTCAAGCGCCTCTTCATTGCGCTGCTGCTGCTCGGCTCCATCTTCTACATCGTCTCCTTCATCGGTCCGTACCGCGCCTTGCCCCCCTGCCCTGCCCACCCCACCTCGCCTGCTCACAAGCGCCGTCGGATGACGAGTGCACATTGCTTCACGCCCACCACACTGCTTCACGCCCACCACATTGCTTCACGCCCACCACATTGCTTCACGCCCACCACATTCTGCTACAACGACTTTCAGTTTGCTTGTTCAACATTTTTATCCTTCGTGGCACGTTTCCTGCCTGTGTGATGCAATGCACACGCTCCAGCACTGCTGCTGTTCCATGCCATGCATTGCTCTCAACAGTGGCGCCAGTGTGTGCGGTTGCTGGCAGCAAACCGCTGAGGTGGAATCAAACTAGCACACGGTATGACCGCGCTCAAACCACTACCCCTCCTCCGCCTGCCCACCTCCCTGCACCCTCCTCCTTCCACCCCGTACCGACGACAGCGGGAGTGATGGCGAACCGAGGCAAGAGTGTGGAGGTGGTGTCGGTAGACGCGGGGGCGGCGGGGCAGGGGCAGGCGGCGGCGGCGGGAAGCACGGGGCTGGACACTAACTTTGACTATGTGTCGCACGCCATGCTCACCTCCTCCAACATCTGGGTCGCCATGGCCTACCTGTCAGTCACCACCCCTCACCCCCTCCCTTCTCTCCTCAGCACCTCCTCCTGCATACTTAATTTACTACCTGAACCACCAGTCCGCCTTCTTGGCTACCCTTGCTCATGTTCCCATCCAACTAAAACGTCTCTTACCTTTTTCTCTCCTTATCGCTTCCCCTCTCTGTTCCCTCCCTCCCCCCCTGCCCCCCCACCCATTCCCCTCCCCCCGCAGCGTGCTGTATCTCTCATTGGACATGATTGGCTTTGCAGGAGCTATCCTGGAGAACGTGGTGAGTGCAGCACTGGGGCAATCCAATCCATGAACCCAAGTAACGACTCACCATGTGTCATGCCTCATGCTGCGCCTCTCCTAGTCCATGCCATGCCTGCCACACTCCCTCAGCCCCTTGGAGCCTGGGGGCTCTCCAGACCCTCTTTATCCTTGCCGTAGTTCTGGCTGCCTACCCCCACGCAGCCCCTGTGTGTGCTCTCCTAATTCGCTGCAAACAGCACGACTTCCACTTCCCACAAGTAATCCCTTTTCTATTCTCTCCCCCTCTCCTCTCTTCTCTCCCCTTCCCCTCCCCTCCCCCCCCCCACCCCCCCAAACATGGGTGGCAGAGTCTGTTGACGCTGTACATAGTGGTGGAGCTCATCATCACCTTCATCTCCGCCCTCGAGGCGCTGCGCCCCTTCCTGCTCTTCCGCCTCCTCGTCATCCTCCTCGCCCTGCGCCTGCGCTACTGCGCCCTCAAGGTGCGTGCCCTGCATGCCCACGCTCACCTCTCTTCTGCTGGAGATCTTCTCATCTCATCGCCTGCTCGGCCCCGTTCGCCACTCCCTCCCTTCCCTCACTTCCTCCACGACCATCCATCCACCATCCTCAACCCTCCCGTTCACCATATTCTCCATCCATGCACATCTCCATCCATGCACATCTCCATCCATGCACATCTCCATCCATGCACATCTCCATCCATGCACATCTCCATCCATGCACATCTTCATCCATGCACATCTCCATCCATGCACATCTTCATCCCTCTCACCATTGACTCGCACCAACATCCACCCGTGCCAACTCCTCTCCCCCTTTGATGCCCCCTGTGGTGCGCTCCACCAGGTGGAGGATGCGGAGAGGCGCCTCTTCTCGCGCCTCATGGGGCGCCCCATGCCTCCCCCCAACAGACGCACCTGGCTCGCTGTAAGCCCTCCACCCCACCTGCTCCCCCCCTGCCCTTCTCCCACTCTCATCCGCTTCCCCCCCACCCCACCACCAGCGCGCGGCCTCTCTCGCCCCTCTCTTACGTACCCTGCCCCCTCCGTTTTTACCTTGCTGACTCAGCACCGTCCCGCTTCTGCCACGTCCTCACGCACCTCCTCTCACACGCATGGCCGCTCACATCCCTCCCCCACCTCTCCCCTCCTTCCCCCCCCTCCCCTTTCCCCCTTCCACCAGCGCTTGGGCATATTCCCGGGCACGCTGTCAGCCATGTTCCGCCACGCGCCACTGAGCCGCTTCCAGCTGCGCGGGCGGCCGTGGTACGCAGAGCTCGTGCGCCTGCACGCCCTGCGCCTGCAGCACCTGCAGCAGCAGCAGCAGCTGGCTCAGGCGCAGGCCCAGGCTCAGGCGCAGCAGCGGCAGCTGCAGAGAGAGCGGCGGCGGCGGCAAGAGATGCGGTTGCAGCGACGACAGCAGCGGCAGCAGCGGCAGGAGTGGCAGGAGCAGGCAGCAGAGCAGAGGCAGCAGGATGGGCAGGTGGATGTGAGAGGTGGTGGTGTGGAGGAGCGAGTGGAGAGGGGAGGGGTTGTGGAGGCGCAGGAGGGGAGGCAGCAGCAGCAGGTGGCGGTGGTGGTGGCGGTGGAAAGCAGTGTTGCTGGACAGCAGATCTCTGGGGAGCAGAGAGATAAAGATGTTGCCATGCACCACCACTCGCACCCCCACCACCATCACCATCATCACCATCACTGTCATGAGCATGAGAAGCAGCAGCAGCAGCAGCATCAGCACCACTGCCACCACCACCACATCCAGCACCCGCACAGCCTACCCTCCTCCTCCCAACCTAATAGTGAGCAGCCGCAGCATCAGCAAGAGAGGGGGGAGGCAGCAGGGGTTGATGATGTAGGTGTTGACGTGAAGGGGCAGCAGCAGGGCTGCGAGTCACTACAGGTGGAGAAGCAGCAGCAGCAGCAGCAACCGGAGGGTGCAGTGGTGGCAATTATCGGGTCAACCAGCCGGCCAGCTGTTGACAGCAGCTGCACTCCATGCCCTCCTGTGCTGCTACTGCCAACTGCAGCTGCAGGCGCAGGCACAGGCACAGGCACAGCAGGAGCAGGAGCAGGGGTGGCGGTGGAAGCAGGCGAGACTCCCCTGGGCAGGCGCCTCTGACCACTTCAGCATTGACATCACTGACACGCCTCTCACGCCTCACACTGGAGCCGAACCAGAAGAAGCAGCAGAGACCGCGGAGGAGGAACGGGAGAGTGATGCCGCCTTGGCAGCCCAGCTGCTGCTGCCCCCTCCATTCCCCCTCGTGCCTCATCTCCCCGTCCCCCGCACGCCCTCCTCCTCCCTCCCGCCCTCGCGCTCCGTGTCCCTCACCCACCAACAGCAATCCACTGATGCAGACTTGCCTGCCTCTCCCTCTGCTGCTATGCTCCCTCCTGCCACCTCCTTCACGCTCATGTCCTCACCCCTTCCGTCTCTCCCCTCCACTTCCACATAACATGCCGTATTTATCCTCCCCTTGATGCCCGCTTACCTACCCGTAGGCAGCTCTGGTTCCCCAACTGATGTCTGGCATGCCATGTGTGACAGATGACCACGTGAGACGCTCTTGCACCTTTCCAATGCGGGTACCCCAACTTGTAGACCCTGGTACAAGGAGCCTACTGCTGCTGACTTGTCTTGTCGACTGCTTTGGAATTGTCAAATGGTCAAGCGTGTTTGACTAATTGCTTGTCTTGTTAATTGTGCCTTAATACTATATTGTGTCTGACGCTTTACATGCGTTATCTGTACGCTGACGAGGAACGGGCAGTACCGTAGTTGGCAATCAAATCAGTGCATGCAAGGTGCACAAGCGCTGTGTTGGTTAACACAAACGTGCCTCCCTGCCTGCTCTTGAGGATGCACCAGTGTGCCCACCAGGCTGGGCAGCGTTCGGCAGCAGGGTGTGTAGCAGGCCCCCAGAAGTCAGAGAAATTTCTCTGATTTGCATGGAAAACTCTGATTTTCCAGAATTTTTTTAATGGCAACTCTGAAAGTTCAGATTTTTTTAGGGCCTCAACTCTGAAAGTTCAGAGTTTTTGTTGTAGCTTACTCTGAAATTTCAGAGTTTTTTTTGGAGTGTACTCTGATTCAACAGACTAGAAACGCGTACCGACTCTGATTCATTGTATCTGGTTTAGCGCCTTAAGCCGGGATTAGCGGTGACACTACCCTCGTAAGCACCAGCGCACACCAGCATAGGGCGTTGATTGGTCCGTTCGGCAGCCTTTGCCAGCCACACTGGACTCCAACGGTACCCACGTTGCTGCATTTGGCAGCCACGAAACACTGCAGGGAGCAGTGCACGGCAGCGTGCTTGGTAGGCAATCACAGCCCACTGGAGGTTTCATCCCCACCTCATGCTTCAGCAGCCTTGTCTAGTCCCAGTCCCAGTGCTTTTTGTCTACCTCCACCACCTCCCTAGTGCCTGCTCGGCAGGCTTTCTCAACCCCCGCCATGGCTATTCAGGACGGTTCCGCCTCAGGCGATGACGATGATGCCGTCCCTCATGCTAAAACCGGCCTAGACTTTCTGCTTAGCTCCCTAGCACTAGAGAAGGTTGCACGTTCTACGCCTGACACAATCCCCCTCCCGAAGGAAGCTGCACCAGCGGTCTCAACTCCACCTGATACTGCCGAGACGATGGATGAAGAACCTACCGTTGGTTCTGCACCGCAACCTGTCGTGAAGCCGCCCGCCACTGCTGCAGCGCGTAACGTCCGACTTAAGCAGGCGACGCTTAGTTTCGGGAAGACGTCTGCGACGGTTGTGGTCGAGAACAACGTTGCCGGCCCATCAGAAAGGCCTCGTCCACGGCTGAACATCGACATGGACCAGCTCATCGCAGATGTGTATGAGGACGCACACGACAAATTCAAGTCCCAGTGGTCAGCTCGCTTTCCCTGGCTCGTGCTAATGAAAACGTCCTGTGGTCTTCCTGGATTTAAGTGCAGTGTGTGTGAAGCCCATGCTGGCGACGCAGGAAAATGTGGGAGGCGCGGGAAAGGTGCTACAGACGTGCAAACACAGTCCTTCCGTAAGCACGCAGGCACACAAAAGCACAAGCTGGCGATGGCGAAGTTCACCGCTCTGAAGGAGTGCGGGACTCGGCAGCCGCTGATAGACCAACTTCGAGTCACGGGCGACGGGGAGAAGCTGCGCGTCGAGTCCCTTCTTGACTCGTTGCTGCTTGTCAGCAAGTGCGACGCGCCAATGGGACTGTGGGTGAAGCTTGTTCGGTACTTGGCGGAGAAGGGCGTGAAGGGATTTCCCAAGAAGGGCTACGGCACATACTACACCACGTAAGTTATGCATGTTGCTATGTACCTCGTATGAGATTGTGCTTTCTACGTTCGATGTGAAACGGTAACTAACTAATATGTTATGTGCAGGTACGGCTTCGGGGAGTTAACGCAGGCGACGGCAACGTGGCTTCAGACAACCCAGCTGGAGCACGTGCTCACAAGTCCCTTCATCGGCATCTCCCTCGACGAGAGCACGGATCGGTGCAGTGGGAAACACATGATACTGTACGTGACTTTCATCCGCGACAGCAAAGTAGCAACGGAGTTCATGACCCTCATCACCGTGGACAAGGGGGACGCTGCCACACTGGTCGGTCTCCTAGTTTCGCACCTGCAGGCAGTCGGCATCGACCTGAGGCGGATATCCGGCATCAGCACTGACGGTGCCAACGTCATGATGGGTAGCAAGTCGGGCTTGGTGACACGCCTCCGCCTGCGCATCCCCCATTTGGTGTCTTCGCACTGCATTGCGCACAGGTATGTGGGCTCTTGTATAGGCCTTTGTGACTGCCTTTTACTTCCAGACTCAGTACTAACCTTTCTTGTATGCGTTTCAGGGAGGCTCTGGATGCCAAACATGCTGCTGAGAACATCCCCGCCTTCAATGTCGTCGACAAGGTGATTCGGACCGTGGCTGAGCACCTCGGCAGGTCAGGGCCGTGGCACCAGAGGTTCATGGATCTCCAGAACGTGTTCACCTCAACGAGCCTGGAACTGCAAGGGATCCATGCAGTTCGCTGGCTCTCGCGGGGCGATGCTGTGCTGCGTTTTATCGCCGTGCTTCCAGGGCTGATCGTGATGCTGAAGGAGTGGGATGCTGACCTGTATGCTCTGGTGACAAGCTACAGCTTTCATTTCCTTCTTTTTTTCATTGCTGACGTCCTTGAGCAGTTGAACATCTTGAACAGGGCCTTCCAGCACAAAGAGGTGAGCATGTTACTGGTGGTTTTCTAGGTCTTAGTACATTTGCTTTATTGCATACTGTGTCTCACTAACATTCATTTCCTTTCCGTGTTGAACCCAGCTGGATTATGCGGCGTCTATGGGCAGATAAGGCGCACCACCTCTCACATCGAGTCTCGCTACGTTGACTGCGGCGACGACTTCGGTGGCGGCGTAAGCGAGCGGCTATCCCCTTTCCTCGCGCGTCATGGGCCTGGAGGAAACAGGGAGGTGACAGTCGAGGGCGTTGACTCTGACGGGCGACCCACGCGCTTCAAGTTCAAGCTGCATGAGGACGAAGTGGAGGATTTTGAGGGGCCCGCCACGCATGATGGCTGCGTGGAGGTCTGCACCGCATTCGCGGAGAAGATCGTCTTTGAGCTGGAGTCCCGGCTTGGCGACCTTGAGGGAATGGCAGGGGCCAAGCTATTCACCCCTGACGAGTATCCACTGGACCGAGGCGAAAGGCTCGCCAGATGCCTTCAGTGGCTGTCGTCCCTGGTCACTCTGTTCAAGGCAGACAAGAGCGAAGAAATCCTGCCTGGTAAGCCGTAGTCTACTGTAAATGTACGTATGTGCCTTACCCATTTCATCTCTGTATGGTTTTATGTGTTGTGGTGCTACTTCGGTCAAGTGCTCCATTCTTGTGTGTTCCACTTTTCATTGTTATACCTTCAAACCCCCTTCAAGAATCAACAAGCGACGTGCGCAGAAGGAGCTGCGCATGTTCACCTCGGTGCTTGCAGGGGCCAGCAAGAACGACCGCAGTTTCCATGCTGGACTCACTGCCATGCTGAAGACGCCGGACTGGAGGGAGAACTACCCCAACTTGGTGCAGTTGTGGGTGGCGGTAGCCGTTCTGCCGCTGAGCACAGTGGAGTGCGAGCGTGGGTTCTCGCGGCAGAATATCATCAAGTCGTGGCAGCGAGGGGCGATGAAGGATGCACGGCTTGGGGATCTCATGTGCATGAGCCTCATGCAGTATGAGCCCAAGTGGGATGAGATTGTCACAATCTGGCGCAGCTACAAGAAGCGCAAGCCCCACAGCAACGCTCCAATCGATGCAGCAAGGCAACACAGCAGGCAGGGCAAGGAGCATGCCGATGAGATGGAGGTAGTTGACTTAGAAGATGATGATGCTCTTGAATGTGATGATGATGACTGACTAAGTAATCGTGTGGTAGTTATGTAGGATAGGCTAGACCTAGTATGGAGTAGTAGAAGTTGTAGCTTTAAATAGTAGTAGGCTACAAGGTTTGGTTGGATAGGATACCTAATTAAGTGCATGCATGCTATATGAGGTGCAAGCAACGTCCACCAAGGTAGTTAAAAAACTGACCCACAGCCTGCAAACCCTCAGAATGCAATCAGACTAATCACAACTGGTAACTCTGAATAATCAGAGTTTTTCCAAATGACACTCTGAAATTTCAGACTTTTTTTTCAGACGGACTCTGATAGTTCAGACAACATTTTTGTACCAAGTCTGACTGATCAGACAGCCCCAAAAACGAATCTGAGGCCCTGGTGTGTAGCAGGGCAGGTAGCGTGGTGGTCGCATGTGTTGGAAACATTTAGTTTACGATTCTGAAGTATCGAGCACTATAACAAAAGAGAACCATACTCACAGCAAAGCAACACCGAGTCAACCAAAGCGGTTGACAAGGCGACAACAGCAGGAGGTTGAAGCGAATGTCAAAGGTCAGCGACCTTTGACTTGACAAAGGCAGCGCGACAGCAAGAACAAATAACTGACTCGCTATTGAGCAGTTAGCCGAGTCATCGCTGTATCGAACCGCAACAGCAGTTACAGTTAAACCTTTCGTAGTCTTTGTAATCATATAAAACCGTATATCTCTTTGCTATAATCAATTCATATTGTTCTCACATACTAGTACAAGGTGGTTCAATTAATCCACTGTTACGCTTCCGCTAAATACATTGTCAAACTTATATGCTATAGTCTGTTTAAGTTGTAGTGGGGTAGTTCATATAGGGTACAACACTTTTAGGTTTCCTACTTGTACCCACCTGCTTTCTAGTTCAGTCATTCATTCGTTCACTATTCTGACATGGTATTCTGAGCAGGTTCCCTAGTGGGAACGTTTTTTTTTTAGGGCCCACCACGATTTTTCTTCCTGCCCTGCCCGAAGCGCGCCTCACGCCCTGCCCAAAGCGCGCCTCACGCCCTGCCCTAGTACGGCCCGTCGCGGCCCTGCCTTAGCTGGCCCGTCGCGGCCCTGCCTTCACCGCCCGTCGCTGGCCCGTCCCAGTCCGTCCCGGCCCGTCGCCGCCCGTCGCTGGCCCTTAGCCGCTCGTCGCGGCCCTGCTTTCGCCGCCCACTGTGGCCCTGCCCTGCAGCCGCCCTGTCGCGGCCCTGCCTTTCGCCGCCTGTCACTGGCCCGTCCCGGCCCGTCGCCGGCCCGTCCCGGCCCGTTGCCGCCCGTCGCCGGCCCGTAGCCGCCCGTCGCTGGCCCGTCGCCGCTCGTCGCGGCCCTGCCTTTGCCGCCCTGTCGCGGCCCTACCCTGCTGCCGCCCCAGTTGCGGCCCTGCCTTCGCCGCCCGTCGCGGCCCTGCCCTGCAGCCGCCCTGTCGCGACCCTGACCTGCTGCCGCCCCAGTCACGGCCCTGACCTAAACCGCCGGCTGCGGCCCTGCCCTGCACCCGCTCTTGGTTTTGCTCCTTCCACTGTTGACCTGTCGCTGTTTCTACGCACCGACACCACTCTGCCGCCGTTCTACGTTCTCGTGTACGTAGACGACTTGGTCTTTGCTACTGCTGACACTGAGGCACTCGCCCACGTGAAGTCGGAGCTGCAGAAGAGACACACGTGCACAGACCTGGGTGAACTGACAAGCTATCTTGGCTTGCGGATCACCCGGAACAGAGCACAGCACACCATTACCTTGACTCAGTCACACATGGTGCAGCAGGTCCTTCAGCGCTTCGGCTTCACGTACTCCTCGCCACAGTCCACTCCTCTGCCTACCGGTCACTCGCTCTCAGCTCCACCTTCGGACGAGTCCGTGGAGCCGAGTGGCCCGTATCCAGAGCTTGTGGACTGCCTCATGTACCTGATGACTTGCACACGACCTGGCCTCGCGTACCCTCTCAGCCTTCTGGCTCGCTACGTGGCTCCCGGCAGGCACCGAAAGGTGCACTGGGATGCTGCGAAGAGGGTGTTGCGCTACTTGTGCAGTACGTCGGGCATGGGGCTCGTGCTTGGAGGACGGGCTCGAGTTGTCCTCACTGGTCACGCAGACGCTTCCTGGGTTGAGGACTTGGCTACGCAGCAGTCGTCACAGGGTTACACCTTCAGCCTTGGCTCCGGTTCTGTCTCTTGGCGGTCTACCCGCTCGTCTTCTGTTCTCAGCTCCAGTTGTGAGGCTGAGATCTACACAGGGGCCATGGCTGCACAGGAGTTACGCTGGCTCACCTACCTGCTGACCGACTTGGGAGAGGCGCCTCGTTCTCCTCCAGTTCTGTACGTCGACAACAAGGCCATGTTTGTCTTGTGTCAGGAGCACAGACTGGAGCACAGAACGAAGCACATTGCTCTGCGCTACTTCCTTGCTCGAGAGTTGCAGCAGCGTGGTCAGCTTCGTCTTGCTTACGTGACCTCTCGGGCCAACACTGCTGATGTTTTCACCAAGGCACTTCAGCCTTGTGATCATCAACGTTTCTGTACTGTTCTAGGCCTTGTACCTACTGTGCCTCACTGGCTTACTTCTTGACTCTGCTTGTACTGTGATCTCTATACATATACCTGCATGCTTACACTTGCTAGGTTGTGATCACTGTATTGCTTGTTCTCCTTCATATATAACTGTGCATGTGAACTGGCCTTGTGGCCATTTGTTTGTGCTCAGAATGTGTGGTGACGTTGTGATCCACCCTGAGCTTGCTTTGCCTTTCTTGACTGGTCTTGTGACCTCTTGTTCTCCCCCACTTTGCCTATGGGGGTGTGTCAAACTTATATGCTATAGTCTGTTTAGGCTGTAGTGGGATAGTTCATATAGGGTACAACACTTTTAGGTTTCCTACTTGCACCCACCTGCTTTCTAGTTCAGTCATTCATTCGTTCACTATTCTGACATACATCACTACTCTGAGAGTTTAGTCTTGAAACGATCATAAGGATTTTTTCAGCCCAACATGGTACCGTCAGCCCCCGGATTGAAACGCCCCTGGGGGTATAAAAAAACACTGTTTTTTAGGGGGTACGCTTATAATCGAGGAATTTTATAAGCGCAGGCGTTTATAAAATGGAAAAAAATAATTTCTATATGTTTTACACCAAACTGTAGATCTCGTTTTGCCGATTGTAATCGAGTCGAAAACATATAGGGTCGCGAATATGATTCTCGCGCAGCTTGGCAGGGAGTGATTCCCTACCAACTCAAACTGACAGAATGACAGCACATGCTGACTAGACACGCAAAAGTTGAGATCAGAGTGTGGGAAATCCAATTTGTAGTTCGTTTCCCTGATAATGTGAATTTTGTTTTTGTATTTCATCAAGTTTTCAAATGAAAATCCAACGCGCGCTTATAATAAATCATCTTTTTTTAGGGGGTGGGCTTATAATCGAGGACCGGATATAAGCACCGTCATCCTTTTATAAGCGCCGGCGCCTATCCGAGGCCTGCGCTTCTATCCGGGGGCTTACGGTATGAGAGCCTACAAGACAAAACTCAACTTAGTTCAACTTTCTGCAACATCAGAAGACATGGCAACACAGAAGGAAAGAAGCTAGTCTACTGGATCTCCCGGTACTACTCCTGTCGAAATCTTAGGCAAGGGTGGTGTGGACTATCGAGAGATGGGTACAAAAGAAAGAACCTAAGGGGTTGTACCCCACAGTGAGTACCCCACTAAAGCCTACCTAAATTATAACATATTAACATATGTTTGACACACCCCCATAGGCAAAGTGGGGGAGAACAGAGGGTCACAAGGCCAGGCAGGAAGTGCAAAGCAAGCTTAGGGTGGATCACAACGTCACCACACAGTCTGAGCACAAGCAAAAAGGCCACAAGGCCAGTTCACATGCAGAGATATATGTGTAACAACAACAGCACAGTGATATCTACCTACAAGAGCAAACATGCAGGCATACATATAGATCACATTACACACAAAGCCTACAGCAAGTGAGGAAGCGTGGGAACAAGGCTTAACAAAGTGCAGAAACGCTGATGATCACCAGGCGGGAGCGCCTTGGTGAATATATCAGCAGTGTTGGCCCGAGTGGCCACGTAAGCAAGACGAAGCTGGCCACGCTGCTGCAGCTCTCGAGCAAGGAAGTAACGTAGAGCGATGTGCTTCGTTCTGTGCTCCAGTCTGTGCTCTTGACACAAGGCAATGGCAGCCTTGTTGTCGACGTACAGAACTGGAGGAGAACGAGGCCGCTCTCCCAAGTCTAAGGAGAAACCTAAGGGGTTGTACCCCACAGTGAGTACCCCACTAAGCCTACCCAAACTATAACATATATATACATATGTTTGACACACCCCCATAGGCAAAGTGGGGGGAACAGAGGGT